AACATCTTTTAGTGTCAAAGACAATGAAAACAATAGAGAGAATTTAATAACAGAAGATATTTTGGACTTCTGCTTTTCTGCAATTTCTTTGAAAATAACAATGTCTCACAAATGAAATTCTTCTGTTACCAGAACTCTGAGGACATCAGAGATAATGAGAAGATATAAAAGTCACAAGAAGGAGCATGTAAAACTCCACCAGCCAGGAATGCACATGGAGAACTTGACAAACAACCCGTTGCGCACAGAGTTGCACACTCCCGTCAATAGTACAGTTTCAAATAGGCCAGTTTCCGATGATACTTCCTCTCTTCCTTTGTGCTGTACAGCTGGAAAGGTTGAGAAAACAGGCAAAGAATAAATGTACTGAACTTACATCTTTTTTTTTTTCCACAAGTCAGGACTATGATTTTCATTCTCAGTTTATGGTAAGATCTCTTTCAAAAAGTCCTCACAATTTAGATATGTCCTCACAAAAAATGTGTCATTCAACAAAACCCATATTCTAATCAACTGAAACGATTTATTTTGTGTGCATGCTGTTGTTGTAGAGTGTAAATCTCCTCAGGCATTTTTCAAGCACAGACCACAAACCTAGATCGATTAATCTCTACAGAGAACAGATTATTGGCTACGCACGTGTAGCTTTGGTTCCCCAGGAACTGTCACTAAAAAGAGATTGAGCAATTTTAGGGCAAACAGTAGAAAAGAACTACAGCTACAAAAAGAAAACTGCAACTCTGATTTTTTAAATACATTTCTTAAAGAGTAATAATAATAATGATAAATAGCATTTGTACAGCGCATATCCCCCCTCGACAGCAAGCTCTATGCACTTTACACTATATTTTTACTCCAGCAGACCATAGAAGATTCAGAAACATTCTTAGCTTCCCGGGATACGTACAGTGCAAGCAGCTGAATAAGCACTCAAACACATACAAACTGACACTATCTTTCACAGTCTGTAGCTGGGCACCCATTCTAACCTGGGAGAAGTTAGGAAAATTTGTGTAAAGTGTCTTTCCCAAAGACACAACGTTGGGCCCCTGACAGGATTCAAACACAAGATCTTATGATTGCGAGTCTGAGAGCCTAATCACTAGGCCACCAATGCCACCAGGAGCCTTAACAAAAATAAAGAAGACAGGATAAATGATGGCACACTATATCCCTGGACTACCCCACAAGCTATGCTTTACTCCTCCACACCAGAGTACTTTCTGAAGAGTGTTACCAAGATTCAGCCATGTAACATACAACCTCAATTGTTCAGATTGAACAGGCTGGTAATGCATCTTTTTAGACCAGAATCAGATATCGCCATTACCATCCATCTGTTCGACCCTCTTTTATCTTTTTAAAATCTCTCTTACCAAAACGTCTAGACACCAAGCATAATGATCACTGCATGGCCACTAGTTATTGTACAGTTTTAAAGTCCCTTTCAACACTGGGATTATTCATGAGGAGGGATTTCCAAAAATGATATCCATTTCCGATAGAACCAAGCCAAATGGGATGAGAACTTGAATAAAAACTCCTCTAGACAACCAAAATTCAGAATGCTCTGTAGGGGATTTGAACCAGGCCCATCTGCTCCATAGTACAGAAATATACCAACCGAGCAAACAGTGCTCCCAGGCATAGTGACACAACTAGACTTGCCATTAGAACTGCCCACTAGAGCAGAAAAGGAGGAAAATTTGACGAACATGAGCTGTTTGCCTGTCATCAATCCAATGTAACTCCAAACCGATTTCAGCTGTCAACTGCCTTCAAATCAAGTGTACGGCCTACTGGGGATACATATCAAAATGCCACATACCTTTTCTGTGTTCTTATCGATAGTGCTTCTGATGGTAATACTTGGAAGTAAGATGGGGGACCCTCCAAACGACTGGTGCCACTGGACTTTCCTGTTGCGGGGAATTTCATGTTCATAAGTCCCTGCCCTGGAAATAGCAAAACAAATACAAAAGATTTACAACAGATTCAGATTACTGCACGCAACATTGAAAAAGGGGATGAAGGGATGTGGTCTCATCTGAAGGTCAAGGTATTGGACACAAACATACGACTGACCCCAGGTTTGATTGCCCACTCCACAAGTAGAACATTACGTCTCACAGAAGGTCACCTTACCCAGTTTTTGTGAATTAACATGGACCTTTCATCTGAAAGGATACAATATACTTTAATCTATCATTTTTTAAACTTAAATTTGATCTAAGAAAACTAGAATAAGTACTGAGGAAAGTGATTTTTTAAAAACCTCTTACTATTTTCTTTAGTAAGTGGTGGTGGGGGGGGGGGGGGGGTTGCCATCGACAGCCTAACTATAAGAGGTGCCACATAAGGCTCGATTCCCACCTAGATCTCCAACAGCTTACATTCAGTTAAAGAATTGAACCAGGGTAGGCTAACATGTAGGCCTACCATACACCAGTGTTTTCTCAAATGAAACACTACACACAATCACTCACTATGGGCAACCCATATGAAACAGCTCACTCACCCGGGCACGACATCCACCAAATCCCTCTTGAACACAGGAAATCTCTCTGCGCCAATCTCAAAAGGTTTCTCTGATGTTTCAAAGGTCATGGGATCAGTGCAGTGCTGTTGATACTCAGTCGGGCAAGGTGTCTTGAACTGGAAATAAACAAAGGTTCAGCTGTGCATGCCTAAGAGCAAATGTTATTTTATTTTATCTCTAGAGTACTTGCAAACTATTTCTGGTATCTGTGGTGCAATGGTCTATGCTGTCGCAAGCAGAAGGTATGAGCTGGGAAAATAATTTTATTGGTTGCTTCTATCTCTCTGCAGCGGTGCTGTATCCAACTCAGCTTGGGTTGATGCTGGAAGACAGGAATGAAGCAGTTTCCCTTCTCAAATCATCTAAATTGTGTCTATGACAGCATAAACATTTGCCATCAATTCACATTTAAAAACATACTGATTTCATACAAACACTTTTTAAAAAAACTTTTCCTCTTCTTCTTCTTTTCAGCCACTATTTCCACTAAATGAAAAGGACAGTAACTTTTCCTACCACATGCATACAGATTATTGGTTTCCAAAAAAAAACATTTTTTCTTCTTTGGTCTTTATCTGAGTCATAAACAACATAACAACAACTTTGGTCTTTTAAAAAACACAATATTCTTAAAGGTAAATTCACCTTATTTTCTCGAGCAAATCTTGGTCCAGTTCGAGCCCCCATGGTGTATCCTTTGCTGCTGACCAGCTTGTTGTCAACTTGATACAAGAAGTTGGTTTTCTATTGGAAAAAACAATTATGTAAGTATTCGCAGCATTTCAATATTATCAAAGTTTTCACATCATGGAGCAGGAAGCAATCGAAATAGTTGTAAGAATTATTCTTCATCATATCTTTTTTTCAACCTGTGTCCAAAACAACAATTAATTTGCTTGATAAACGCAAAGATCTATATCAAAATTACTGATGTTAGTGTCAAAGTAAGAAACTCTCAAAAAGCTTGTTTCACAAGAAACTGAACATTCCGAACTGTTCTTTTTTCCGTCAACTATAGAAATTCAAAAGTTATCATAGAAAATTCCTGTCGATATTACTGCAAAATTATATTCACACACAAAGAGTAATTCACGATGAGACATTTTTTTTAAATTGTTTTTTTATTTCAAACTCTGCCACTTATCATCCAGCACCAGTAAATAACTCATCATCAGGACTAACTAATGTCTTTTGTCTTACATCTTCATTTTCATAACAGCCAGGACCTCGATGTGGCGCTCCCCTCAAAGGACACAATTCATTGCCAAATCTGTCCTGCGCCATCTTAATGGGAAACATTTCCCGGTCCTTGCTTGTCATAAAGGCAACATTTGAAACGGGCGTGGCTACAAAGGAAAGAAAGTAAATTCAGTTTAATTACTTTGTTCTCAGATTGGTATCGGTAGTGAAAAAGTTCTTCTGATTTCAAACACATTCATTCAAAGTGCAAATTCAGCTATGTCTTGAAATATGCTCGTTTTCACCTGATCAAGTAGATGAGAAACAGAATTTAATGGAAAATTCATTTCAACTTCATTCTCCTAAAAAATGTAACTGGTGAAATACTGAAGAGTATTCTGCTATATAATGCAACATTAGCCCCATAAACGAGTTGCTTAAGTCTCTTTCCATATTCACATTAAGAGTCGATCAAACCAAAGTCTATATCAGGGACATCAATAGACTTGACAAGAATGTTGAACTCCCCAAATAGAATTCATTGTGAGGCAAAATCACAAGGTCAAGCTGTAAAACATACAAACAGTCTGTACAAAAGTACGGACGTCGCACAGACCAGGAGGGGAGACATTTTGGGGGAAGATTAATTAGAAAAGACTGATCTCTCCTCTGAGAGTGAAAATGTAAAACTTTATAGGAAAGTGAGCATAAAAGAATAAAGGACGTAATGAAAGAATAGGTTGTGACATTTAAGAGGAAAATCAGGGGTCTCAATTCAGAATTTTAAAAAAGGAGGAACACACACACACACACACACACACACACACACACACACACACACACACACACACACACACACACACACACACACACACAGAGGCTTACAACACATGCATAATATAAATGAGCAGCAATATAAACAATAATAATCTTAAGCTAGATACACAATGTATTGATCAAGATGCCCTAACGCTGTGCTGGCATATATAAGGTCAATGGGTGAGAAATGGGCTATTCCAAGCTGTACATATACATTACGTACTGTACTGCAGGCTGGCACCTAATTGGCACGGAAAGTACGTGCCACACATGGTACAGCAATGATTGAGAAAGGGCCAAGATGGGTTTTTTTGTAACATTTATTTTATTTAGATCATAATTATCATAATTTCAACATGTCAACAAATGTTGAAATGACAGTCTTAGAAATGTGAGCATCAACCTCTGACCAACGCCTCATACGGTGACAAAAGCCAGGAGGTGGAAACAAAAGAAATTGGGTCTACAGACTAGATATAGAATTGGATTCTAAATCTAAGTTATTCTGTTAAACAAAATTACAGCCTAACAATAATTCAATTCAATTGGCGATACAATAAATAGGAAATAGGTCAACATCAACCCATCGGATCTATCTACATGACTAGCTTACTAAAAGTGGAGAACCCAACGGTAAAAGATGCATTTAAATATCGGACATACTTACTTTCTGTTGCCATGGTGGTTATTTGACTGTTACGTCCAACCAAAATCTATGTATAATAAGGAGGGGAAGCCTTACTTTACGTATTTTAGCCTCTATGTTATGAAGACATGAGTTCACAATTTCGCCATTTTTCTAGGCCTCTGCTTCCTTAGAAACATGTTGTGAAGGAAATCTACTTCATTTTAGATGTCGTAAAACCGGAAGTACAATCAAAAAGTATGTTTCGGAGTAAAACGAAATGCGAACCGTAAGGGGACAAGGAGTTGGTTGTCGAAAGCAAGGTAAGCTATTTATAAGTGTCGTCTTCTAAGTTTTTAGAATTTGTTTAGAATGTTATTACTATCCACGAAGGCATATGAACTTTTGGCTACTTTTTCATTTTATTTGGAGTTTTCTGATTTTGAAAGTCAAACGAAACTTATTTTTACGTCGTCACCGTGTCGATGAGTGTCAAGAAAGATAGTTCGGTCTACACTGGGGCCAACACAGACGGAATGATGCGAGGGGATTTCATTCATTTATCAACCATTCATTAAAATTGAGACATAAAATTATATCTAATCTAGAATAGATCTAGATTCTAGACTAGATCTAGATATCTAGATTTAGCCATAGATCTTGTCATTGTGTACAGTTAACATTCTGTCTGTCCCTTTGGATTTCAGACATGATGCTATGCAAGTGCAAGGCACTTTTAATGTTTTTTTGTACACACATGACATGAGCATGGAATGATATGAAATATGATGAATGACACGACTTATTGGGTCCCTTTTTTTGGGAGGACTTCCGTAACGAGCGACCACTATGAGACAGTAGAACAGAGATGGGTATAATTATTATAATAGTATGGGGTAGGGGTAAGGTTTAGGTTTGGGGTAGGGTTAGGTCTCTTCTTTCATAATTCATTGGGGTGGTCGTTCGTTATGGAAGTCCTTCACTTTTTTTTACCCGAGATGTACCGAGATATAGGCTTGAGGAGATCTGCTGTCCTTTGACAAAAGGCCGTACGTGCGTATATTTTAAGCTATTACTTTATAGGGCCGTACCTAAACCTGGAGGCCAAGGGAAGGGCTCTACACTACACAGGCAGTTTTAACCGGAGTTGGAACCGACGTTGAAACCGCCGCGGAATACCACCATTTGACGGGTCGGCGCGTCACCTACATCACATTAAGCTGCACGGAGTGTACTGGCAATGACGATTTGCTTGCAATTTATGTGCTGCTCATGGCGAAGAAAAATAAAAAGAGAAACATGGATAAAAGATTGACTTCAGAAAAGAGATTAAACTGGAGCTATAGAGATCTATCAATGTGGAAATTACGGCCTCATCCTGATAATTTCAGTATATTTTTTTTTAACGAATGTGTGTGTGTGGGTGTGCGTGTGTGTGCTCAGTATCCATCCGAAGACGTCCCCGGTGGAGATAGACCAATCAATATGCCTATTATGGACCAAGTAAAAAATCGGGGGGGTACAGGGGGGGATGCCCCCGTTTTAACCATAATTTGATATTTTGCAGTTAGGTTTAGGTTTGAAATTTTCTTGAAAATAATTGATTTGTGGTAGTTTTAGGGGCTAATATATATATATATATGTGTGATCTGCATAAAACATGCAAGTTTGGCCCCCAAAACAGCACCATTTCTGTGTGCGGGAGTCATCTCCAAATAGTTCCTGGGTGCTCGCTTGAGACGTCTCCAAATATCTTCTGCCATGTGTGTGTGTGTGTGCAAGTGGCTTGGAAGGGTGGGGGAGGGGGACTTACAAGCATGTGTGTGTGTATGTATTTTTATGAAGTGACTATTTCTCCCGACGCTCCGGAAAATAAACGGGATTTTTTGGTTATTTGCAAGAATTCAGCGCCATCTTTCATTCTGCCATTCTGTGAGGACTGGGAAGAAGCATTTTTTGCAGCAAATTCAAACATAGCTTGATATTATAGTAAGAAAGTGGGAGAAAAAGAGAATCAGAAAATTTTCAAAAACAGAGAGAGGGTGAGCAAAATAAAGGTAAAGAGATAAGTACATGTGCAGTGGACGGCTTGAGTTGACAAGAGCAATGAAGAGGGGAATGAAGAAATAAAGACATAGTACGATAGAAAAACAGAGAAAGAGGGAGAGAGAAAGAGACAGACAGACAGAGAAAGAGATCTGCCTCTATATTTATGGCGTCCAACCGTTTGTAGTGAATTACTCACATTTCCCACCTGTTTCCACTGGCTCTTCGCAGTTTGTTTGATTTTTTCTTTGTTTATATTGTGTGCATGTGCCTTTGCCCCCTACATGTTTTCAAACTAGCTGGGGATTTCCCCCCCCCCCCCCTCCTTTTTCGCCTTTCATCCAGGCTTTATTTTAACGTGCATTCTGAGAAATACAGTTCAAATTTATCTTCCAGAGCGTTCTGAGAAATAGAACCGGCCATATTTATAACAGTCTCGTGGAAAGCAGCCTTAATTCGAGTCAATTGTATTGGTTCTGCTCAGGCAAGCTTTCTACACCTATCGGTGTGGCAAAAAACATGTGCAGCTTCTAGCCCATGGAAATGAAAGTCAGCGCTGACTTTATCGACACGGCATATTACAGTCCCATGGAAAGCAGCCTCAATTCAATAGTTTTGTTTTTCAAATATATATTTTCTTCAAAACAATTCTTCTGCTATGTCAAAATCCTGGGTTTTAATGAACTTCTCGGTTCATCTCGGTACATCTCAGTAAAAATAGGTACCACATTTATCATCATACTCATGTCATAGATGTAAATCTAGATCTTATCTGGTATAAAGCCTTTAAAAAATGTCTTTATTTTTTAGGCCCACTATACAGTAGTCTCTGCCTAAGATCCCACCGCTTACGATCGGGGTTCGCTTAAGATCCCGCTGTTTTAATTTAAGAAAACAGAATTTTTTATATACAAAAGTCACCCCAAAGATCCCACTCTGAAGATTTACTTTCGGCTACGATCCCAAATTTCTGATCATAATTTACGGAATAAAGACCTGGGCGGGCACAGCCGATCAACCGAATGGGGAAAAGTTTAGATCCATTTAATGCCTGTCGCGTCGAAGATCAGCCACTCTCATGAATGTGATCACATTTATATAAGCATTGTAAAACTCAATGAAACGGTACAATGTTTACCCCAGACAATATCACACCGATGTGTGAACTGACCGACGCGTTTGTTTTCCCCAAACATCACACTCGCATCTGAGCTCTCCTCCTAAACTTACATCACCTCACTCCAGGCGGGATTGCATCGAACTGTGAACTGTTCCCTGACCATGCTGTTTTCTCTCTTCCCGAATTTGCGAGACAGACTGAATTTTAATTGGTGTGGTCACAACGTAATGGTGCGTAACGACATAGATGGGGGAACTATGTCAGAGATGAAAAGCTATAAATTTTCAACAGGTAAACGGGAGGGGCTACTGGATAAGCATAAATCTCAAGACTTGCGATTGGATAATAAATGAAGATGGCACTCTTCATGTCACCATGCAGTGTGATAGGTCAACAAGGTTAACCAGTCTTTGCTCGCCATGTCATAAACCCTCCCAGGGGTCATGTCAGTTCATTTTATAGTGGAGGGAGACCATTTTACAAACTGTTACCCTTAACATTGGTGACCATATATTCTTCCCTGGGTTCGCCGGCTAAGATCCTGAATTTTCCTTGTTCCCGAGCACCGGGATCTTAGGCGGAGACTATTCAACGACTGTAATAGTGCAAGTGTAGTAGTTTATAAACTTACTTGTGACCATGCTATTGTCACAGTGTGAAAAAAGAAATCGACTGCTCAGGCTCTGTAAAATTCGATCGCAAAATGACATTTTTTTAATTAGCGTAGTATGGTGGAGTCTTACTCTATATAGGCCTACTGTTGAAATGCAGAAAAGTTTAAATTAAAGAAAAGAAAGCCACTCGACTCGGTGAGTAAAGTAGTTCTAGAACAGGAAAATCAAAGTGTAGTCTGTTCAGTCTTACTGCCTTTTTACTGTGTGTACTAACTGATTTAAAAAAATTTGATTTAACATGATGAAAAGGAAGCGCAATGCCATCAGGTACTTGTCAAGCCTTCAATTTTCTCAGTTGCAGCTGGTGCTGTGGCAATATAGAGACACCCCACCGCCTTTTCTTGATAGACTATTATTCAAGTCTGATTCTGGATGCAATGATAAAAGATTGCGATGAATCTGACAGTCTTGCTTGACAGGTTCCACTTTCCGCTCAAGAAATTTCTATTTTTTCCCACATTTAAACAGTAAAGATAATTAACATAATTTTTAGGACTTCCCTTCCAAAACGCCAACAGCAGTATGGTGTTATAAGTGAGATTTGACGTTACTGAGTTCCTGACTACTGTGTGGCAAACCCTCTGACCTATGCAGTAGATCACTCGAAGGGGTCAAGCCCCCTCAATCTCCTCTTTTGAAAACAAGGAAGTTGCAATATCTAAGTGCAATGGTCAGATTGATGTGGAGCAGCTCTTCTGTTTTGAGTTACATGATGTATCTCACTATTGTTCCCACTCGTCCATCTCTTTCTATTCCCCAATCTTAAAAGTCATGACTGGTTCAGGTGCTTTTCCACTTCTGCTCTGTAATAGTAATATTAAGCTGTGAAATCCTTCAGGAAAAGTGCACCTTACTCTTGCATACACAGGCGGATGTATTTTTAATTACAATTACATTTTCTTGACATTCTGACAGACTTTCTTTTCCTCAAATGCCGTTTTATTGATGCACAAGAGAATGTTTGTTTTCTCACTTGAACAGCTTTAAATTCAATTTTAAAGCTTCCAACTACACTGTACAAGCAGTATCTGTGCAAGTGCTTTACTATCTGTTGAACTATTTCTTTTTTTAAACATTTTTTTTTTTTTTTGAGGATGCTGAAATTTAGTGCATTATATAGAGATGGTGCTTGTCTTTCTTGATTGTTAATTGTCCTTTTGTCAGTTTTTGTCTGTCTGACATATTCTCAGCACTTAATGATTAGTTATTTTGTCTGTGTTTCTATTTAGAAAAAAGGACATTTATTTTACTAATGGTTGTTGTTTTGGGGGTTTTTTTCAGACCGGAACTTCTATTGAAACGAATTTCTGCAACGCTGATGGACGTCAACAAAGTTAGATGAGCCATCATGTAGCCAGCATGAAAGGTGGTCACAGAATAGTTTGTGATTTTCCATGGTGTTTTTAATGATCAGATAGAATTTTACTTCAGCTGTGTTTTCATACTGTGTATCAGTTGTCATCATGTCTAAGTCTTCGGAAGAAGTGCTGCTGATTGTAAAAAATGTGAAGAACAAAAAGACTGATGGAACTTTGTACTTGATGGGAGAGAGGATGGCATGGATGCTGGAGTCGAAGAATGTCTTCAACATAAGTTACATGTACGCAGACATCAAAGGTAAAATTTCCCTTTATTACTAATATATGTATTTTTTAAATACATGATGGGTATTTTCATTGCAGATATGGGGTAGGGAACAATGTAAGTATTTGTTTCCTTATGTTTAGCACCTGTAAATCGAATATTCTTAATATCAGATTCTTTTGGTTTTCTATAGTGTAAGTATGCTCCTTTGTGAGACATTGCTTTTTAGAAGCCCGACAAATAACCTGGAAGAACTTCATGTTGCACTGGAGGAAGAATGGGAAAAAAAAATACTCTGAATGTTCAAGAGCTTTTGAAGACTAAGCTCTGGATGTCCGGCCTCCATTGAATTAAAGGCATTGTGAAAAAAGTAAAACCAGCCACCGTGGGGGTGTCTCCTTTTATTGATTGAGCATGTACAAAAATATCCGTACTTTTATAAGTCATTATTGCCAAAATGCTATGAAATAAGTGTATGAAAAATGATGTAATTCCTTTTCTGTTGGTAAAATAAATTTCTGTCAAAAGTATCCTGTTATTTAATCATTGCCTGACCGGATGGTGTGAGTTCTCTTGGGGTTCAATTATGTGACAGTGCTGTTTGTTATTTGATGAAATCAAGTATCTCATACTGTAGACACTGTGGTTTTAATGTTTAAATAGTAACGGCCAAGTTGTGGTCTTGGCAGTAAAAGTCAAGCTTGAAGTTGTTCTGTATTTGTCATAGTTTAGATGAATCAAGACAGTTCTGTCACTGTGAAAAAAAGTAAATTAAATGCTGTGGAGATAACCTAAATATGAATGTTTCCTTTTTTCTAAATCTACAGCTCAGAAGATTTCCCCAGACTCAAAAGAAAAGGTGCAACTTCAAGTGATATTACATGATGGCAGCGCAAACACCTTTCTTTTCAACAATCCTCGTAGTCGGCAGACTCAGATGCAAGATCGGGAATCTGTCAAAGAACTGTTGCAGCAACTGCTTCCAAAGTTCAAACGAAAAATCAGTGCTGAGCTGGAAGAGAAGAACAGGTTGGTCTATGCTGCTTTTACATATTGACTTTTGTAATGTGCAATGTAAAAAGCGTATGAAGAATACACGTTCAACTGCTTGAATTTGAAGGACAAAGGCTTACTATTGAACTTTATTTTAGATTTGAACCTGTAGTCTTCACCTCAGCATACTGACCAGACTGTTGGCTATGGTACGTTCAGTCTTAACCATTTAAGAAGACTAAGTTTGAACTGAACTTCAGATTATTTTTATTCAATCTTTGTCAACTTCATGGATTTAAAAAAAGTTTTCTATTTGTTATTTCAATTAGGTCATAGGTGATATGACGTTATCCTTCTCTCTTGAGCTTTTTCTGCCTTGTGATTCCTATTATTATACTGCCAACACTTGCTCCTACATCGTCTCCCAAGACTTACACAACACACAATGCAGGAGAAAGGAACAGTTTATCTTGGCATGATCCGCCTCTAACAACCTGGTATTTGATTAATAGGCAAGAGCCAGAGGACCGCTGAGAAACACTATATAACCCTCTCAGTGCCGAGAAGCACATTAAATAACCCTCTCTTATTGTGTGTCTCATCTGTTTGTACTCTTCTTTACAGCACATTTTACTCATGAATTGTGCAGGCATAGTCGCAAAAACTTCCCTGTCCTCAGCAAAATGTTGTCTGTTTCTCAGGCTGTTGCAGGAAGATCCAGAGTCCTTTCAACTGTACAAGGATCTGGTCGTGAGTGGAGTGATCACTCCCGAGGAATTCTGGGCTTCAAGAGCTCACGTGAGTTGTCGCTCTCTTAATTAGGTCTCATAAATAGATTGTGATTTATAGAGGGATTCTCAAGTGTCATAACTGGCTTCTGTGGTGTTGTGGTTAGGAGCCCTACTGTTGTGTGCAAGAGACCAGAATTCAATTTCCATTTGAGGAGAGTTTTTATTGAGTATATTCGTCTATCTGCTGGGATGTTGTAATCCTCTCAGCCTGGGTTAGCCCAGACAAGCAGGGTGGAAGCCTGCATCCTAAATTATCTAAATTGTGTCGATAGGGTTGTAGAAACAACTGAAGAGCACAGGGGGGAAAATGATGTTTGTCACAAACTAGAAATTGTGAGGGTGCCAATTGTAAAAGCTTGTTGACTCATAACTTCATATTTGTTTGACTGGTGGTTTATTGTTAAGTATTGTTGAATGGTAAATCTAACAACAATAATCAACCAGCAATTGAACAGAAATACGCTTATGAGTCTACAAGAGTTCAAAATTGGTACCCTCACGGTTTTCAGTTTTTTACTACCGTCGTTTTTCCCCTGTAGTCTTCAACTAGATTTTAAAGAAAAACAAATTTCAAAAGCCACACAAAACAGGGGAGTGTTCATGGTCAATGTGCAACACTACTTTGGAGAAAGCTTGGTGACCCCTGCGTCAGAGAAATGACAGCTGGGTGAAGTAAGTTATGTAGAAAGTGTCTGCAATAATATTGTTTGTAATCTCGAAGCTGCTGAGCTTTGTGCTTACAACTTGAACTTTGTGCCCTGAAAGGAGTCATCTTATGTGGACAAAGGGATGCAACCATGTTTTAAAAAATGTTCAATTTTGTACCAAAAAGAGTTGATTTTCTTTGACTTCCTTTTTTTTAAATTGTTTTTTTATTTCAAACTCTGCCACTTATCATCCAGCACCAGTAAATAACTCATCATCAGGACTAACTAATGTCTTTTGTCTTACATCTTCATTTTCATAACAGCCAGGACCTCGATGTGGCGCTCCCCTCAAAGGACACAATTCATTGCCAAATCTGTCCTGCGCCATCTTAATGGGAAACATTTCCCGGTCCTTGCTTGTCATAAAGGCAACATTTGAAACGGGCGTGGCTACAAAGGAAAGAAAGTAAATTCAGTTTAATTACTTTGTTCTCAGATTGGTATCGGTAGTGAAAAAGTTCTTCTGATTTCAAACACATTCATTCAAAGTGCAAATTCAGCTATGTCTTGAAATATGCTCGTTTTCACCTGATCAAGTAGATGAGAAACAGAATTTAATGGAAAATTCATTTCAACTTCATTCTCCTAAAAAATGTAACTGGTGAAATACTGAAGAGTATTCTGCTATATAATGCAACATTAGCCCCATAAACGAGTTGCTTAAGTCTCTTTCCATATTCACATTAAGAGTCGATCAAACCAAAGTCTATATCAGGGACATCAATAGACTTGACAAGAATGTTGAACTCCCCAAATAGAATTCATTGTGAGGCAAAATCACAAGGTCAAGCTGTAAAACATACAAACAGTCTGTACAAAAGTACGGACGTCGCACAGACCAGGAGGGGAGACATTTTGGGGGAAGATTAATTAGAAAAGACTGATCTCTCCTCTGAGAGTGAAAATGTAAAACTTTATAGGAAAGTGAGCATAAAAGAATAAAGGACGTAATGAAAGAATAGATTGTGACATTTAAGAGGAAAATCAGGGGTCTCAATTCAGAATTTTAAAAAAGGAGG